TTTGCGACTTGTCTGCGGACAAGCTGTCCCCTCGTGCTGCTCCTTGCGTCTTCCTAGGTTTCCCGCCTGACGCGTAAGGGTGGTTGTTCTACCACCCCACCTCTCGCCGTGTTCTGTCCTCCCAGGACGTCACGTTCGATGAGTCAGTCCCCTACTACCGTCTCTTCCCCTACTGCACTCCGTCCCTCCCCCCGCCACCGCTCTTCCTTCTGCCAGGTCCCCCCCCGGTAGACCCCCTCCCCCCTCAGGGTCCAGCCCCTTCAGGTGTGTCCCAGGTAGACGCTGTCGAGCCTGTCGAGGTCGCTGATGACTCTGGTGCTGCTGAGGGTGCTGAGACTGGGGGTGCTGACTTTGGGGGTGCTGACTCTGGGGGTGGTGAGCGTGTGGGTATTACGACTAGGGGTGCTGAGCCTGGGGGTGCTAAGTCTGGGGGTGCTGAGCCTGGGGGTGCTACGCCTGGGGGTGCTGAGCCTGGGGGTACTGAGCCTGGGGTTGCTACGCCTGGAGGTGTTGAGCCTGAGGGAGTTGAGCCTGCTCGTGGGGCGTCTGGCGGTGCTGGGCCTGGCGGTTCTTCGGGTGCTTCGTCTCGCCGGGAGCCACTCTCTCCACAGGAGTTGCGTGAGTGGTTTGCCCGGCGCTAGAGGCGAGCTGCTGGAGCTGGAGGTGCTGCGGGTACTGGAGGTTCTGCTGCTGCTGTGGGTGCTGGTGCCGCGGGTCCCGGCGGTGCTCGTACTCGGATTACTAGAGCTGCTGGGCCTGCGGATACTTCTGGAGCGGGAGCTGCTTTGGGTGCTGGCGCGCAGGCTACTGCTGTCGGTCCTGGAGGCGGTCTTGCTGAGGGTGCTACTGGTACTGCTGGAGGTACTGGAGCTGGAGGTGCTGCGGGTGTTGGTGCTGCTGCTGGGGGTACTGGTGCTGTCCCTGCTGTGTCTGGAGTCGCCGCACGACCTCGGCCGTACTTCGTTCCGCTTCTTCAGCAGGTTCTTGGTCTCCCGCCTTCTACTGGTCCTCCCTTAGAGTGTCCACAGCCTGTCCCGTCACAGTTATAGTTACAGCCGGCCTCCCCACTGCTTGCTCCGTCTCCCTACACTGGTCCTACTGGAGGTCTTGCTGAGCGTCGTGAGCCTGCGTCTCGCCCTGCGTCGCCTGTCCGTGCTGCTCGCACTAGTGGTCGCGGTTCGCGTTAGCGTCCTCCTCCTGTCCCTGGCACGCACCGGATGTCTCTGCGTCCGTCCACTGCTCCTCTGCGTGCCCCTTTGCCTTCTCCTCCTGAGTCTTCTCTTCCTGCTCTTGCCGACCCGGAGTCGGACTCTCTTCGTCCTACCAGTCCTACTGTTCCGCGTTTCCTTGCTACTGCCGTCACTGACCCTTCCTTTGAGTCCACTGCTGCGTCTGCCCTAGTTGCTGAGCTCGTCGAATTTGCTGCTCGCTGTCGTCTAGACTACGCTGCCAGTCTTGTTGCGGAGTCTGAGTCTGTCTGTCCTCCGTCCGTCGTAGGTCAGTGTTCCCTTGGCACGGACGTCCTTGAGGACAGGCAAGAGGAGCTCCACTGCTTGGCCGCTGCTTCACCTCATCTCGTGTCCGTACTGTTTACCCCTGAGGGAGACCCGGATGCACTTTTCATCCCGACTCCGCGCTCTTACGCGGAGGCGATAGAGGGTCCCTACTCCTCTCAGTGGCAGGCAGCTATGGACGCAGAGATGGCTTCCTGGAAATCCACAGGCACCTACGTTGACGCCGTTCCCCCTCTTGGGGCGAACATCGTCAGTGGCATGTGGATCTTCAGAGTGAAGCGGCCGCCGCGTTCTCCGCCTGTCTTCAAGGCACGTTACGTGGCTCGTGGCTTCAGTCAGCGGCAGGGAGTTGACTAATTTCAGACCTTCTCTCCCACCCCAAAGATGACCACTCTTCGGGTACTGCTGCACGTTGCTGCTCACTGTGACTACGAGCTGCACTCTTTCGACTTCAGCACAGCTTTCTTGCAGGGCAGCCAGCACGTGGAGATCTGGGTCGTTCCCTCCTGGTACCCACTGGAGCCTCCGGCGTCCAGTTTACGGTCTCTGCCAGGCGCCACGTGAGTGGCACGACACACTGAGGACTACACTTGCGGCTCTTGGGTTTGCTCCTTCTACTGCCGACCCGTTCCTGTTTCTACGCACCGACACCTGTCTGCCGCCGTTCTACATCCTCGTGTACGTCGACGACTTCGTCTTTGCCATAGCTGACACTGGTGGACTCGCCTACGTGAAGTCCGAGCTGCAGAAGAGACACACGTGCACAGACCTGGGTGAACTGCGCAGCTACCTTGGCTTGCAGATCACCTGGGACAGAGCACGCCGCACCATTACCCTGACTCAGTCACACATGGTGCAGCAGGTCCTTCAGCGCTTCGGCTTCACGTACTCCTCACCTCAGGCCACTCCTCTTCCTACTCGCCACTCGCTCTCGGCTCTGCCTTCGGATGAGTCCGTAGAGTCAAGTGGCCCGTACCCAGAGCTTCTTGGCTGCCTAATGTACCTGATGACCTGCACACGACCTGACCTTGCATACCCTCTTAGCATTCTCGCACGCTATGTTGGTCCTGGTAGACACCGACCAGAGCACATGGCTGCAGCGAAGAGGGTGTTGCGCTACTTGTGCAGTACGTCGGGCATGGGGCTAGTGCTTGGAGGGCGGAGTCCAGTGGTCCTTACTGGGCACGTAGACGCTTCTTGGGCTGACGACCAGGCTACGCAGCGGTCGTCAGAGGGTTACACCTTCAGCCTTGGTTCCGGCTCTGTCTCGTGGCGGGCTACTCGCTCGTCTTCTGTTCTCGGCTCCTGTTGTGAGGCTGAGATCTACGCAAGGGCCATGGCTGCACAGGAGCTTCGCTGGCTCACCTAGTTGCTGACTGACCTCGGAGAGCCGCCTCGTTCTCCTCTAGTGCTGTACGTAGACAACAAGGCCATGCTGGCCTTGTGTCGAGAGCAGCGACTGGAGTACAGAACAAAGCACATTGCTCTCCGCTACTTTCTTGCTCGTGAGCTACAGCAGCGTGGACAGTTGCGGCTTGCGTACGTGGCCTCTGAGGCCAACACTGCTGATGTTTTCACCAAGGCACTTCCGCCTTGTGATCATCAGTGCTTCTGCACTCAGTTGGGTCTTGTCCCTGTCTTGCCTCACTTGTTCACCTCTTGACCTTGCTTGTACTGTTACATATATATATACCTGCTCTTGCTTGTCTAGCCTTATATATATATGTACTCCTGCATGTGAACTGGCCTTGTGGCCTTGTACTTGTGCTCGGAATGTGTGGTGACTTTGTGATCCACCCTGAGCTTTGCTTTGTTTTGCTTTGCTTGACTGGTCTTGTGACCTCCTGTTCTCCCCCACTTTGCCTATGGGGGTGTGTCAGAACATTATAGCTTATGCTTTTGTGTAGGTTGTAGTGGGGTATCCCATAGGGGGTACAACCCAATTAGGGTTAGTACTTGTACCCACTTCATTCATAGTTCATTCATTCACGTTTCAGTTTTCTCATCGGCAGCCTCTCCCGCGCGTGTTAGGTTACGGAAACCCAGACGGTGCATCATGCGATGGACCCAGCTGAGTGAACATTCGAAGCGTGGGTCCACGTTGAGTTTGCGACGAAGTGACCGCGTCTTTTCTTGGATCAATTTCAGAGTCAAGGGCACGCCTGCCTCACAGGCATTTCGAACCCAATTGTGAAGTGCACCTTCGAGTTGGGGGTACTTAGGATGGCGAAGTCGGTAGGCGCGCCCCTGTACAGTTGTCACAGCGCGCCACTTCCTCTCGCTGCGGAGGATTTTTCCGATTGTGCTCCGATCAGGCCGGAAGCCGTATCTGGTGAAGCACCAGAGTGACAAATCCTCGAGACGAAGGTGCGGGTGCTGAGCAAAATGCTCACAGATTTCACGCTTAGTGACGAGAGAAATACGCTGGCGCTTCTGGGTGCGAGCCATGTTGCTTACGAAAAAGAGTGGATTGAGACTCGGAAGACTGGAACGCGAGATTGAATGGTTTGAGAGTTGTGAAACGGCGCATGATTTAGCCTCGGTCAACATTGACTTTGAAGACTTCAAAACCCGCCACGTTGCTAGGGAGGTGTACGATTCATTCGACGTGGCACTTGAAGCAGATTACGAAACAGCTGACGTGGGCCTGGAAATCGCACAAGTTTCGCCTCTCTGATTTCTCCAAAACATTCAATTTTCGCACACATGATACACGTCGCCCATGTGATCTGACCAGCGATTTTGATTGGTTGTTTCCCAGATCCGCTCTACAGTGATTCGGATCAGGCCCCTTTCTGTACACTGTTGGCCGCCCACAAGGGGACTGTACAAGAGGGGATGCACCAAAGAATTATAGGAAAATTCTACTTCTGGCGGAAAATGGACTGTGTTAGCGAGGGCCTCTAAACCGGAACATCTTTACTGTACAAACGTGCCAAACATTTGAAACTAAAAGCGCGCCTTAAACCAATCGGGGCGATCGATGGAATTCCACGGGCTCACCACGTGCCCTCGATGTCCGCAACAGCCGCCGCAGTAAGGGCGTATCTGGCAGTAACGTTCATGAGTGACATCTTTCGACCCTCAGTAAGTTTTTCCGAGCCTTCTAACCTTTGTTACCAGGCCAACTTCAGGTTCTCCAAGAGCTAATTTGTCAGCTAAACACAAATTTGAAACGGAGTTTCGAGCAGTTCCGAGTCTCGAATATACCTGAGAGATTCGAACCACGGGAATTCTCCTATCAGAAAGGAGCCGAGGTGGGAAGGAAGAGCACCCTCGAGTTTCGTTACTGCTAGTTCAACAGTCCATGATGAGCCTACTCATTACGTATCAATCAGCCTACGAAGTGTAATAGCTGTTTTCGCACTGACATGGTCTGCAAGCACTTAAAAAGGCAAGCCCTCCCTCTCTGGTAGCCCCCTATTCAGAGCACCCGAGTCCCACCCGAGCACCCGAGTGAAAATGGCGGATGAGAGTGCGGCAGAAATGCCGCCAGGAGCACCGCCGCCTAATCCAACCAGCGGAAACGCGACTGCCGGCGTAGCTGCGGATACTACGAGCCTTTCAGCAAGCGCTGTAGAGGATACTGTGCCCCCCGGACCTTCCGCTGAGGGGGAAACCATACCCGCCACAGGCAGTCAGCCCGCTGTTCAAGCGCACGATTCAGCAACTCATTTTTCTTCCGCCGGAGAAGGCACAGGCGGAATCTCCGCCGCTTCTCCTTCCGCCGGTCCCTCAATTTCCGGGCCGCCGCCGGTCGGTGCTGGGGGGGATGATGAGCTGTCCGCCGCCGATGTGCATTACTTCGCGGAAACTCTTCGCCAATGGCACGGGCAGACGGACACGCCGCGTTGCCCCTCCGCGGGGGCGTTCCGCCGACGCTCCGTCGGGGGGAAACCGCGCGGCATCCCCCTGCAGATGTCCGCCCCTGTCGGGGGAAGCGCCGCCATGCGCGGAGCAGCGGCGAAGGAGAAGAAGCAGAAGAAAGAAGAAGAGGAGGAGCAGCCGCTGCTGGCGCAAGGCGGCGCGGGGGCAGCGCCGCGGGGCAGGGCGGCTGGCGCGGACGCAGGCGCAATGGCGGCAGACGGCGCGGAAGGCGCGGGGGAGTTCGACTACGGGAAGCTGCGCGGAGTGCTGACGGGGCTGGCGAAAGATGTGTTGGTAGAGCTCTGGATAGAGCAGCACGTGCGGCTGGTGGAAGTGGGGGAACGAGAAGCCGCCGCGGAGGCTTACCGGGGCATCATGGAGGTGAGAGGGTGTTTGAGGAGATGCTACCGGCGGAGGTAGTGGTGTACTGCGGTGGGAGGGGGTGCGGTACGATGCGCTGCGGTGTGGCGTGGCGTGGTGCAGCGTTGTGCGATGGTGCGCTGGCGAAGAGAGGTGCGGGGGCTGTGTTGTTGCGGGATGTGCCGCGACGCTGCCGTCGCGCTTCCCGACAAAGAGTGCGTAGATGTTTGGCGGCCCTTTGTTTCTGAGAATAGCAGGGATGTGTGTGGTGGTAGCGATGTGATGTGATATGAACGTCGGCGCAGGCAGGATACTGTCCTTGCGTCGCCACTGAACTGCACGCCGTCATGTGGTTTGGTGGGGCGCAGCACAGTGCGGCACGGTGGTGTGCGGTGCAATTCAATGTCGCATCCATCGCGTTGACTCATTGCTCGTATGACTCATCCATCATCTCGCTCCGTCGCTTCATCCCCCACTCACTTCCCTGCTCCCACCCCGCGCCCCCCGCTTCCCGTCCCCCACTTCCCGCCCCCCGCTTCCCGTCCCCCACTTCCCGCCCCCCGCTTCCCGTCCCCCACTTCCCGCCCCCCGCTTCCCGTCCCCCACTTCCCGCCCCCCGCTTCCCGCCCCCCCGCGTCCCACTCCCCCGCTTCCCGCCCCCGCACCCGCCCCACCTTCCCCTATCCAGCGCGCGCAGCAGCTGCAGCGCGTGTCGTTCCGCGTGCCGTCCAAGAGGGAGGGGTTGACCGGCATTGACCTGCTGCTGCGCGACGGTCTTCTGGCGTTTCTGGTCAAACTCAGTCAATACCTTCCGCCCATGCCCGAACAGGTGCGGGTGTGGGGGAAGGGGGAAGGGACGGGAGGGGGGCGGGAAGGGGAGGGGGACGGGAGGGAAAGGGAAGGGATGCGGGGGTTGGGTGGGAAGGGGGCGCAATGGAAAGGGCAATGCTGGTGGGGGGTGAAAGAAGAGTGTTGAAGTGGGGAAGTAAGGGGGCCGTTGCAATCGTACACACAGTCAATATGCATGCATGCATGCGCGTGATTGCACTCATGTTCATTTCCACAGTCGGCAGCACAAGGCCTTCTGCCCACCTCCCTCCCCTTCTCTCCACCTCTCTCCCCTTCCCTCCACCTCTCCCTTTCCGAAGCCCCTGCATCCCCTTCCTTCTTTAATAAATATCTCGCTTTTCATCACTCGTCCCTCACTCTCCCACCATCCCTCTTCCCCCCACCCCAAAACAACCCACCCAACCACCCTTCTTCACCCCTTTCTTGCTGCACTGCATACTATGCTCTTCCGCCAGTACTATTCTCCTCACATTCATCCACCTCCGCTGCCATACCACAACAGGCTTATCCTCTTTCCTTTCTCTCTCTTTCCTTTGCGCATCCACCCTCTCTCTCCGCCACTTCCAACCCCCCTCCGGTATCCCTCCCCACAGTCTCTCCTCTCAGCCACATCCTCGCTGTCTCCCCTTGAACTCCTCCCTCCCCCCCTCTCCCTCCCCCCCTCTCCCCCCCCCCCTCTCCCTCCCCCCCTCTCCCTCTCCCTCTCCCCCTCCATCCCCTCTCCCTCCGCCAGGTGGTGAAGCTGCACGATGTGACCTACACAGCCTCCATCCAGCGCAAGCAGGAGGGGAAAATAAGACCTTTCCCTCATCCCTCTCCGCCTTCTGTCTCTCTCCTTTCTCCTCGTTTCGCTCTCCCTTCTGCCAGGTGGTGAAGCTGCACGATGTGACCTACACAGCCTCCATCCAGCGCAAGCAGGGGAGGGGGGGTTTGAAGGATACTAAACGACCCTTGCCCAGATCTCCTAAACCCCGTTCCACTTCCCCCATCCTTCTCCTCCCCGCCCGGCAGGTGGTGAAGCTACACGATGTGACCTACACGGCCAAGATCCAGCGCAAGCAGGAGGGGTACGAGACGGTGGGGTCGAAGCTTCTCGGCTGCTTCCTGCCGTGCGCCTCACCGCCGGCCCCCTGGGAGGACTTCAACGTGCTCTCAGACCTCTCTGCTTACTTCATGCCCGGCTCGCTCACCCTCATCTGCGGCCCGCCTGGATGCGGTGAGTGGGACTCTGTTGTGGGGCTACCAAGTCCCTGCCGGCTCCCCGGGAGGATTTCAACGTGCTCTCAGACCTCTCCGCCTACTTCATGCCCGGCTCGCTCACCCTCATCTGCGGCCCCCCTGGATGCGGTGAGACCGTGTTGCTTCTGAGTCCCCACTTCCCCCTCCAAGAAACCTCCCTCTGGGAGGATTTCGACGTGCTCTCAAACCTCTCTGCTTTCTTCATGCCTGGCTCTCTTACCCTCATCTGCGACCCACCTGGATGCGGTGAGACTGTGTTGCTGTATTGCAGATAAAGACTAGATTGTGGGGTTACCAAGTCCCCATGAAATGAGGGTTGATTCGAGGCTTCTGAGTCACCCCTTCAAGAAACACTCCTCCTCTTGAGAGGACTTGAACGCAACTTGTGCTCTCTCTGACTGCTCTGCCTCCCTACCTCATGCCCGGCTCTCCTTCTTTCCCCACCCTCCCGCCCCCCAGTCAAATCCGCCTCCCTCAAGACAATTGCACGGCGACTTCCAGAAACCAGGTCTCGGCGTTTCTCAGCCGAGCGAGGTGACGTACAATAGGAGGCCGTGACTCTTCCACTCCACCCCACCCCACCCCACCCCACCCCTTTCTCGCCCCCCACCTCCTGCCTCCCAGGCAAATCCGCCTTCCACAAGACCATCGCAGGGCGCCTCCCAGAGACCAAGTCCCTGCGCCTGTCTGGGGAAGTAACATACAATGGGCGGCCGTGGCGGGAGGTGCAGGTGCGGAGGATGACGGCGTTGGTGGGGCAGACGGACGAGCACATCCCCACGCTCACAGTCATGGAGACGTGCAAGTTCGCTCAGGAGTGCAACCGCCTCATCACTCCCAAGGATTACGAGCCGCTACAGGGGCTTATCGACATGGTGAGAGCGGTTCTAAGGGGTGGTGAGGGGTGTTGTGGTGAGCGGTGGTGAGCAGGGGTGGGTGGTCGCAAGGGGTGATGGGGGATGGCGAGTGGTGGTGGGTGATGGTATGGTAAGTATGTGCGTGGTGAGTGGGTGGAGAAGTGGTGATGGGTGCCCGTGCGGAGGGTGACGGCGTTGGTGGGGCAGACAGACGAGCACATACCCACGCTCACAGTCATGGAGACGTGCAAGTCCGCTCAGGAGTGCGGCCAATTGATCAACCCCAAGGGTTATGAGCCCCTTTAGGGGCTCATGGAGATGGTGAGTGAGAGCGGTTCTGCGCGGTCTTGGGGCTTGTAGACATGGTGAGCGGTGCTGCACAGTGGTGCGGGGTGCGCGTGGGCAGTGGTGAGCATCGTGAGAGGTGAAAGAGGGGGTGGTGAGCGGTGGTTATCAGTGGTGGTAAAGTGGATGGTGGTTAGTGGTTGGTATGTGTGTGGTGAGCGGGCGTTTGAGTCGTTTGGCCTTCCTTTGCCCCCATTTAACAGCGACTCCTTCCACCCAAAAATCCAACCACATAATTATGCACGGAGCTGGGGGGGGCATGGACACAAGAAGTGTCAGAGATGGGGTTCGAACCCATGCCTCTTTCAAGATTGCAATTTGAGTGCGGCGCCTTAGACCACTCGGCCACTCTGACATGTCTGTTAAGAAAGAACAGTCTCATTGGGAGTGGTTTGTTCAGTAACCACACGTACACCCCAGCAACCCTTGAGCACATCATTCAGAGCCATGGTTAGCCCCGAACAACACGAGGCAAAGGGAGATGTCCAGGCAGCACAGCAACACGAATCGTACTATGATTCTCTCAGCAGCAGCATCAGAGCACTAGGGCCGTATTACACTCACTCATACGACACCCAGCAGCAGCAGCACCAGGAGGCTAGAGCTCACGTTGCACCTGTTTTGATGACACCCCCCCCCCCCCCCCCCCCCCCCCCCCTCCCTCTCTTTCTCGTCCCCACCTCTTTTTTCCGTGATCCCCCCCCCTCTACCCCCTTCCAAACACGCATGGTCCACAGGGCTGGGTGGCATGGACCTGAATTTCGAGTTCACACTGCACGTGCTCTCCCTCCTTCACTCCCCCCCTCCCTCCCCTACCCACCCCACCCCCAAAACCTCAAATTCAAACCCCTTAACCCCGTATCTGATACTTCCCAGATACGCACGGAGCTGGGCGGCATGGATCCGAAGCTCGAGTTCACGCTGCACCTGCTTTGTTCATTCCTCCTACGCACCCCACCCCTTTCTCTCTCCTCTCCCCCCCCCCCCCCCCCCCCTCGAAAACCCCCAAACCCTAAACCACCCAGATACGCACGGAGCTGGGTGGCATGGACTTGAAACTGGAATTCACGCTGCACCTGCTTTGCTGATATCCCCCTCTCTCTTCCCCACCTCTTTTTCCCATCACCTCCCCTTTCCCCCCCGTCTCCCCTTCTCCCCACCCAGATACGCACAGAGCTGGGCGGCATGGACTTGAAACTGGAGTTCACGCTGCACCTGCTGGGGCTCAAGGGAGCGGCCAACACCATCGTGGGCAGCCGCACTGTGAGGGGCGTGAGCGGGGGGGAGCGGCACCGCGTCACCACTGCTGAAATGATGTCGGGTATGTGTGACGGTGCAAGGGATGGCACTGCTGCATAAGCATTGAATAAGCACGACCCAAACTGTTGAGTCGACTCGACAGTCACCCTGGCATGTCATGTGTGGCAATGTTGAATAAGCATGACCCAAACTCCTGTCCTTGCTCTCTTGAGGGCTTAGAGTGACTGCGTTTCATATGCAGTGGCAGAATGACGTCCACGGTTTCAAGTTTCCACAACCTTTTAGTTTCCAGCCCCCCATTTTTCCCCTCCCTCCCGTCTCCCCCCTAACCTGCTCTCGCTCCCCTTTTCCATCCCCTCCCCCCCGCCCCGCTTACGATGACTTGCGAGCAGGCATGTTTGTGGTGATGGCGTTTGACGAGATCAGCACGGGGCTGGACAGCAGTGCGACCTGCCTCTATACCGCTCCCCTCCTCCCCCCCCCCACACACTCCCTACGAGCAGGCATGTTCGTGGTGATGGCGTTTGACGAGATCAGCACGGGGCTGGACAGCAGTGCGTGCGACTTGCATCGATGCAGCTCCCCTCTTCCACTCCACACCCATTACTTTCCCCTGCAACCCTTCCTCTCTGCCCCCCCACCCACCACACCCAGGCATGTTTGTGATGATGGCGTTTGACGAGATCAGCACGGGGCTGGGCAGCAGTGCCACTTGCTGATTTGACTCCCCTTGTCCCTCCCCCTTCCCACACCCCTTGTTCCTCCCTGCAACGCTTCCTCTCCCCCACACCCTCCCCAGGCATGTTTGTGGTGATGGCATTTGATGAGATCAGCACGGGGCTGGACAGCAGTGCGACGTACGACATAGTGTCGGCCATTCGCACCATTGCCCGCGTGCGCCGCACCACCAACGCCTTCTCGCTGCTGCAGCCGCCGCCCGAAGTGTTCAATTTATTCGACAGGTGGGATTCTTGGTGGAGGGTTGAATTGACGAGAGAAGATGGGAGCAAGAAGAGAGCAGAGGTTGGGAAGGGAGAGGAGAGAGTGATTTTTTGGGAAGGGCAGGGGACAGGGAGAGGGGAGCGAAGGGAGGGTTGGGGGAAAGCGGCCAGGTATCATCACTGTAGCCTTTTTGGACCAGGTATCATCACTTGAGCTCCTGCTGTCAGTTCGTTTTGTCTCGTCCCCCTCCCTTCCCATTCCTCCGTCCCCCACTCATGTGTCCCCCTCAGATCCCCCAGGGATTAGGGTTTTAGGATTTAGGGGCGTCCCTAAAGCCTCCCTCCCCTCCCCTCCGTTCCATGCACTGCACGCATGCCCTCTCTCAGGGTGATTGTGCAGAGCGAGGGCAGTATCATCTACCAGGGCCCACGGGCCACGGGTTGATAGTGCTACACAAGAGTACAGAATTCGTCTCTAATGCTTATGCCCCTCCCCTCCGTCCGCATTCATGTGCCCCTCGCCAACTCAGGGTGATAGTGCTGAGCGAGGGCAGTATCATCTACCAGGGCCCACGGGCTGATGTGCTGGCTTACTTTGAAGGGCTGGGGTGAGTGTGTGGGTGGGTGTTTGGCTGGGTGTGTGTGCTTGTGTGCGTGTGTGGGCGTGTGTTTGTGTGCCAGTGTGGGCGTGTGTGTGTGTGTGTGTGTGTGTGTGTGTGTGCATGCGCGTGTGTGTGTGGGTGTTTGTGTGCGTGTGTGGGTGTGGGTGTGTGTGTGTGTGGGTGTGTGTGTGTGTGTGCGTGCGTGTGTGAGTGGGTGTTTGTGTGTGTGTGGGTGTTTGTGAGTGTGTGTGGGTGTTTGTGCGTGTGTGTGGGTGTTTGTGCGTGTGTGTGCGTGTGTGTGTGGGTGTTTGCGTGTGTGTGTGTGTGTGTGTGTGTGTGGGCCCTTGCTGTTGTCCTTTTCCCTCGTGCCCTTTTCTTCCCCCTTCCCTCTTCAGTTCTTCTCCCTTCTTTCCTCCCTGCCTTCACCCCCTCCCTCCTACCCACTCCCCCTCTCAGATACCGCAAGCCTCCCCATGTGGACGTGGCGGATTTCATTCAGGAGATTCCAACAGAGTCAGGTGTGGAGTTTGTGGCACCTGGCGCCGCCCACCTGAGCACGGCGCAGCTGGTGGAGGCATACCAGAACTCGGCGCACTACAGGGATGTGATGCGCGTGGTGCAGGGGGAGAAGGTGAGGGAGTGGGTGGGTGTGGGTGGGTGAGTGGGGGTGTGGGTGTGTGCTTCTAGATACGCTGAAGCACGTAGCACGTGCATGTGGCACGTGCATGCAAGCCCATAAGATCATTGTGTGCTGTTTCTATAAGTGTGCATCAACTACGCGGATAAGGTGCAGTGCATGATGCGCCCTACAACCATTGGGCCGCCCTGAAGCTACGCCATGGCCATGCTACACCATGGCCGTGCTACACCATGGCCATGCTACACCATGGCCATGCTACACCACACCACCCAATGCACGCATTTTGAGACGTCTAAAAAAATTGGGCCGCCCTGAAGCAACGCCATGCCATGCCCATGCTACACCACACCACCCAATGCACACATGTCCCCATGCCTCCCCGTACCACCACACCACACACACACCAGCTGTGCAAGTCCGTGTGGGTGGAAATGCAGCCGTGTACCCTCCCCCCCAACCACCTATCCCCACCGCCCATCCACCACCCCCACGCCACGCGCACCAGGTGTGCAAGTCCGTGTGGGTGGAGGTGCAGCTGCTTATTCTCTGAGACACCTGCCAATGTACTTATTCCCTTTCCCCCCACCACCACCCATGTCCTCCCCCACCCCCATGACCCCCCGTATCACCAAGTCACACACACACACCAGGTGTGCAAGTCCGTGTGGGCGGAGGGTCAGCCACCGATTATCAAGACGTCTTAGAAGCCAATGCACTTCTTTCCACCACCCATGCCCTCCCCCACCCCCCACGCCACACACACCTGAAACACTGTGAGGTGCAGCCGCTTATGCTCTGAGACACCTGAAAAGCCAATGTAATCATTCCCTTCTCCCCCCCCCCACCCATGCCTCCCCCCCCCCACCCATGCTACACACACACACACACACCAGGTGTGCAAGTCTGTGTGGGTGGAGGTGCAGCCGCCTATCGACCTGACCTTCTCCGTGTCAGGGGACTCAGGTACAGTCCAGGCCGTCATGCATGCCCATTACTCACTCACTTCAACCCCATAATGACTGGGCTGTTTCATATGTGTCTGTCTCGTTCAGAGTGCACAATCTTTGTGCCCCTTCCTCTCAAGTGCCTCCTCCCTCATCCACATCCCCATCCGCAGTCGTGGTGGCCAGTGTGGCACCGCACTCCCATCTCGCGCGCCCAGACATCACCTGCACTGACACCGTGCACCCAGGGGACTCCGTCACAGGCCTGGCTCTCCCGGGAGGGATCATGCAGTATGCCAAAGCAGGGGACGGCAGGGGAGGAGGCGGAAGGGAGGGTGGGGAGCAGGAGGGGGTTGTGAGTGCGGAGGAGCTTCAGAAGAAGCTGTTGGTTGCGGCCAAGGGGGGGGAAGGAGGCGGGAAGGAAGGGGAAGGCGAGGGGGAGGGAGGTGGTGCTGTGCGGCTGCAGCTGGAACGGCCGTTGGTGCAGGTGGGTGGGATGCGGTTGGAGGGGTTTGTACAGCATTCCTTGGTGCCTCAGCAGTGTGCTCTCCACCTGCCTCCCCATCCCCCTCACGTTCCCCACCCTCCTCTTCTCATCTCCCACACGCCAAGTTTGAGCAGGAATGTACGCCATTCCGTGGTGGCCCAACACTGTCCACTCCACCTTTCCCTCCTTCCCCATCACCCTCTCTCACAATCCCTTCTTCCCCTGACTCCTCATCTCTCACATCGTCCCCCCACCTACAGGAGGAGGAGCCGTCGCACGCCAAGTTTGAGCAGGAGTACGCCATCCCCTGGTGGCCCAGCACGAAGCTGGTGGTAGGGCGGCAGTTCAAGGTCGCCATCCGCAACACCTCCTTCCTCATCGCGCGCGGCATGCAGGTATCCTCATCTCTTATGTCAACTCAACAATCGCCTCATCACTCACATGCAACACGAGCATGCATGTAACTCACCGTGTCTTGACTTGACTGACCATGGTGTGTGTGTGTGTGTGTGTGTGTGTGTGTGTGTGTGTGTGTGTGTGTGTGTGTGTGTGTGTGTGTGCATTCCGGCATGGCGCCGTACAGTACAGGTACACCATAATTGCTATCACACCATGGCCCCTGTACCTGTACCTGTACCTGTACCTGTACTTTCAGGGGTTACCTCCGCCCCTGTGCAACCCCTCTCTACGGTCATGGTCATGCAGGGGGGGTGTACTCCGTCTCCTTTGCCATCCATCGCAATACCCTGTACACACCCCCCATTCTCTTCCTCCTCCTGCCCCCCACCCCTTCTCCCCCACCCCTTTCCCCCCCCCCCCCTCAGGTGCTCATCCTGGGCATATTCACGGGAACAGTCTTCTTCCAGATCCCCAACACCGTCTCCACGGCCACCATGCAGCTGCGCCTCTCCATCGCCTTTGCCGCCACCATGGCCCTCGCACTGGGCGGCTTTGCGCTCATCCCGAACATCATAGACGAGCGGCAGGTGGTGGAGAAGCAGCTGGGGGCGCGGTTTTATCGCTCCACGTCCTATGTCATTGCCAGTACCATCTGCAACTTCCCCTTCTCGCTCGCTGAGGTGAGCGGGGGGACGGGAGACGCGTGGAGCAGGTGGGGTTGAGTTGGTTGGATCGATTGGAGCTAGCAAGGTTCCCCTTGTTGCTGGCTGAGGTGAGGGGAGAAGGGACAATAAGGGGAACTTGGGAGGGATAGGAGGGTTGTGGCAGGGGAGAGGAGGCTTTGCACTCATCCCGAACATCATAGACGAGCGGCAGGTGGTGGAGAAGCAGCTGGGGGCGCGGTTCTACCGCTCCACGTCCTATGTGATTGCCACCTCAGCGAGCGAGAAGGAGGGGCCAGCTTAGTTCTCTTCCTGCTGCTGTTGCTTGCAGTCGACATCCTGGGAGCCACGCTCATCTGCCTCCCTCCCCCCTCCCTTCCTAAACCCTAAACCCGCCAATCACCCTTCCAACCCCCCCCCCCCCCCCCCCCCCCCCCCTCTCCACCCCCACCCCTCTCTTTCCCTCCATACCTGCCCTTAGGTACTGATATACGGCCCGCTCGTGTACTGGCTGACGGGCATGAGTGCAGCAGACGGCCCTGGCCACCCCCAATCACCTCTCCACTCCCCCCCCATCCCTCCCTGCCGATCAGGTGCTGATATACGGCCCGCTCGTGTACTGGTTGACGGGCATGAGTGCGGCACAAGGAGCGTCGCACTTCTTCCTCTTCATGCTGCTGCTGCTCGCAGTGGACGTCATGGGCGCCACGCTCATCCGCCTCATCGCCTCCGTCAGCTCTTCACGCGAGATGGCGTCTAGCCTTGCAGGTACAGTACAGTATGGCACAGTACAGTACGGTATGGTACGGTACGGTACGTACAGTACAATACAGGTCTGATGGTGATCACCTTCCTGCTCTTAACGGGCTTCCTGCTGACCAAGCCCAACATCCCGCCGTGGTGGATCTGGATGTATTACATCAACCCGCTGCAGTACGGCTTTTGACACGTCTCAAACCCCAACACCCCCCCCGCTCTCTCCCCCCTCCCCCTCCTCCGTTCCTTCTCCGTACCAGGGTTGATGGTCATTACATTCCTGCTCTTCACGGGCTTTCTACTCACGAAGCCCAACATCCCGCCGTGGTGGATCTGGATGTATTACATCAACCCGCTGCAGTACGGCGTCACGGCCATCTGCATCAACGAATTCCTCTCCGGCTCCTACAACGAGGTACGGTGTGGTGTGGTGTGGTGCGGTGTGGTGTGGTGTGGTGTGGTGTGGTGTGGTGTGGTGTGGTGTGGTGTGTAGAGCAGCTCACGTCTGTCGTTCGCTGCAGTACGGAGCGGCGGAGCCACGGCCATCTGCATCAACGAGTTCCTCTCCGGCTCCTACAGCGAGGTCTCTCCGCGGCCACGGGTTTTGGCGTGTGGGATGCGGGGTGTAGCTTGCTTGCAGTGTGGGGTGTATGTGGTGCATGGTGGTGTGTAGTGGTACGACGGCTCGTCTGGTTTCACAGTATATATACAAGGCTTGGCATCTATATCGCCCGCCCACCTTTCACCTTTCTCTGTAAGGGCCCTCGCAGTGGGTTCACTTCCTATCCCTCACACTCCCTCTCGCTCACACTCCCTCTCACTCACCCTCCATCTCCATCACACTTCCTCTCGCTCACACCCCCTCAAGCTCACAATCCCTCTCACTCACACTCCGTCTCTCCCGCACTCCCTCTCTCCCAAACCCTCTCCCGCACCTCTCAGCTCTGCAGCACAGTCAACACCACCACCGCATCGTTCTGTATCAACAAGCCTGCAGGCACAACAGCCGGAGAAGCCTTCCTTCAGTTCTTCGGCATGCCTTCTTCCTTTGGAGCTGTCTGGATCTCCTTCGCAGCCCTCATAGCCTTCACTGCGCTCTTCATCTCCCTCACCTTCCTTGCTGCTTCCCGCGTGCGCTTCAACGAGAATAAGACGCCGCCCGCCAGCCGCCTGCCGCCCCTGCCGCCCCAGCGGAACGTGTTCCAGAAGGCCGTGCGGGCGGTAAAGAAGCAGATGTCTGCAGAGGGAGAGGCGGGCAAGGGGGGGGAGGAGGAGGGGAGGGGGGAGGGAGAGGCGGAAGAAGCACAGGCAATGATAAAGAGGGATGGTGCTGGTGCTGCAGGTGCTGCTGCTGGTGGTGCTGGTGCTGCTGAAGGCAGTCTTATTGAGGATGGTGCAGAGGATGGAGGGAGCAAGGCCGCCCCTCAGTCCCGAGTGCAGTTCACCCCCACCACTCTTTCCTTCCATGACCTGCTCTATGAGGTGCGAGTGCTGGTGTTTTTTTTCGACGGCTCAAAAGTCGAGTGCAGTCACCCCCACCACTCTTTCCTTCCATGACTTGCTTTATGAGGTGCGACTGCTCCTGCTGCTGCTACTGCTGCTGTTCCGGATCCTGCTGCTCATGGCTCTCAAGATCACCTACCTTCCATCCCATCCCTTCAGAAACTATCCCATCACATCTCATTCCATCCCATTCCGTCCCATCCCATCCCATTCCTCCCCATCCCAACGTCCCGTCCGTCCCACACCCCTCGCAACCATTCCCCTCACCAGGTGGACGTGCCGGGCATGAGCGAGCACAAGGTGCTTTGCTTCCATTAAAATCACATTCCATCCCACGCACCTCCACACACCCCCCCACACAACCCCCCCCCCCGACCCATTCCCCCAACCAGGTGGACGTGCCGGGCATGAGCGAGCCCAAGGTGCTGCTCAACAGTATCTCGGGCTTCGTTCGCCCCGGCACCATGACTGCTCTCATGGGCTCCTCAGGTACGCACTAAGTACTCTCTTCCATGCACGCTCACGATTCACTTCTCTCTCCTCAGGTACTGTCCATCTCTTCTCTTCCTCGCTCACCCCCTCCCTCCGCACCATGGCTGCTCTCATTGGGTTCCTTTTTCAAGTACGTTCTCTCTTTTGTCCCTCCACACTCTTCCTTTAACATTATCTCTGACGTTGTCCATTCCCACCCTTGCTCCCTTTTTCGTGCCTACGGTTTCCTTCTTCTTCGCATTGTCTCCCCCTATCGGGCGCATTCGAGGCGACCTTTTCACTCTGCCTCCCCTATTCGCCTTGTTCCTTGTCCCCCCCCCCCCCCCCCCCCCCCACTTCCCTCTATGTGCAGGTGCGGGCAAGACGACCCTGTTGGACGTGCTGGCAGGGCGCAAGACCATAGGGCGCATCAGAGGCGACATTCTCGTCAACTCCTTCCCCAAAGTGCAGGACACGTTCGCCCGCATCTCCGGGTAGGTACTGCTGTAGGCCTTGCTGTGATGCTGCTGCTACCACGCGAGGCGAGGCGACATTCTCGTCAACTCCTTCCCCAAAGTGCAGGACACGTTTGCGCGCATCGCTGGGTAAGGTGCAGCTTCGAGTCACTACCTGCATCTTGGTCTCCCGCACAGTGGTAGTAGTAGTAGCCACATCAGACCGAGGAGATCGGTACCTGCAAGGCTCCAGGAAGGCCGATTGTTTTGTTGCCCAGTGTTCCATCACTCGAGGTCCATCACTAGAGGTCCATCACTAGAGGTCCATCACTAGAGGTCCATCACTGAGGAGGTCCATCACTAGGAGGTCCATCACTAGAGGTCCATCACTAGAGGTCCATCACTAGAGGTCCATCACTAGAGGTCCATCACTAGAGGTCCATCACTAGAGGTCCATCACTAGAGGTCCTCCCATCACTAGAGGTCCATCACTAGAGGTCATCACTAGAGGTCCATCACTAGAGGTCCATCCACTAGAGGTCCATCACTAGAGGTCCATCACTAGAGGTCCATCACTAGAGGTCCATCACTAGAGGTCCATCACTAGAGGTCCATCACTAGAGGTCCATCACTGAAAGAGGTCCATCACTAGAGGTCCATCACTAGAGGGTCATCACTAGAGGTCCATCACTAGAGGTACCATCACTAGAGCGTCCATCACTAGAGGTCCATCACTAGAGGTCCATCACTTAGAGGTCCATCACTAGAGGTCCATCACTAGAGGTCCATCACTAGAGGTCCATCACTAGAGGTCCATCACTAGAGGTCCATCACTAGAGGTCCATCACTAGAGGTCCATCACTAGAGGTCCATCACTAGAGGTCCATCACTAGAGGTCCATCACTAGAGGTCCATCACTAGAGGTCCATCACTAGAGGTCCATCACTAGAGGTCCATCACTAGAGGTCCATCACTAGAGGTCCATCACTAGAGGTCCATCACTAGAGGTCCATCACTAGAGGTCCATCACTAGAGGTCCATCACTAGAGGTCCATCACTAGAGGTCCATCACTAGAGGTCCATCACTAGAGGTCCATCACTAGAGGTCCATCACTAGAGGTCCATCACTAGAGGTCCATCACTAGAGGTCCATCACTAGAGGTCCATCACTAGAGGTCCATCACTAGAGGTCCATCACTAGAGGTCCATCACTAGAGGTCCATCACTAGAGGTCCATCACTAGAGGTCCATCACTAGAGGTCCATCACTAGAGGTCCATCACTAGAGGTCCATCACTAGAGGTCCATCACTAGAGGTCCATCACTAGAGGTCCATCACTAGAGGTCCATCACTAGAGTCGTCTTTGTCCCTGCCATTTTGCAATCGGTAGCCTCTCCTTCCTTGCGCCGCTTCTCCTTGCCCTTCTCGCTCCTCACACACCCCACCCACCTCCCCTTCACCCAGCTACGTGGAGCAGAGCGACAGCCGCACGCCCCTTCATCACCACCTATGCTCGCCATGCCCCCTCCATGGCTCGCCCTTTTCCCCTTCACCCAAACCTTCCCTCCCCTCTCTTGCCAGCTACGTGGAGCAGAGTGATATCCACACACCCTTCATCACCATCCGCGAGTCGCTACAGTTCAGTGCCGCGCTGCGCCTCCCCTCCACCACCTCGCGCGCTGAAAGGGCACTCGTGGTTCAGGAGGTGCGTGCGGTTAGATAGATAGGCAGGCTTGAAGAATTAAAGGCAACTCAGCTTTGTCATCTGTGTTGAGTCGCTGCGGTTCAGTGCTGCGCTGCATCTCCCCACCACCACCTCGCGCACCGACAGGGCACTCGTGGTGCAGTTTGCAGTCGGTGCATGCGGTCAGTTAGACTTGCTAGAGATGAACGACACTCGAGGCATGCTAGTAGTAGGGGTCATAGGCATCAACTTTAGAGTCGACTCAAAAATATACTCTCTTCGATTCGAGGCATGCTAGTAGGGGTCATTAGGCATCAACAGGCGGTCCGTGGAGCAGGCTTAAGCTACTCTCCCCCCTCCCCCCCCCCTCCTCTTCCTTCCTTTGCTGCTCACCAGGCAATGGACCTACTGGAGCTGCACGACATAGCGGACACACTAGTGGGATTCATAGGCATCAACGGGCTGTCAGTGGAGCACGCTTCAACTGCCCTCTCCCCCTTCTCCTTCCTCTGTCCCCCGCTTCTCATTCCTGTGTCCCCCGCCCAGGCCATGGACCTGCTGGAGCTGCATGACATAGCGGACACGCTGGTAGGATTTATTGGAGTCAACGGGCTGTCCGTGGAGCAGGCGAAGCGGCTGACGATAGGTGTGGAGCTGGTGGCGAACCCCAGCGTGCTGTTCCTGGATGAACCCACCAGCGGGCTCGACAGTCGCGCTGCTGACATTGTCGTGCGGGGAATCAGAAATATTGCTGCCACTGGCAGGAGGTGAGGGGAGGGGAAGGAGGCGGGGGTGCGTGACTTATGTTTTGTTTTCTTGTTATTATTAGGGGCAGGAGTAGTCATTGAGGGAACTGGTTGTCCTCCAAGCTCTGATTCTTAGACCCTGACAAGGCAAACACCCTCATTCATTGTGCCATATGCACCACAAGGTGACTTTTGAGTCGACTCAAAAGTCACCTGACAAGGCAAACACCCGCATTGTGCCATATGCACCACACTCCACACACGCCTTTCGTGTCGGCTCAGAAACCCACTCCCCACCCCACACCCCACCCAACCGCACTCCACCCCTGGTTGCAGCACGATCTGCACGATCCACCAGCCGAGCCGGCGGCTGTTCTTTGCGTTTGACTGGCTCTACCTCATGAAGCGCGGGGGCGAGGTGGTTTACTTCGGCCCCATCGGTCACAACGGCTGCGACCTCCTGGTGGGTTGGATGCGGTGCTGATTGGTTGGATGCGCTCTGTGACAATGGAAGTTGCACAGGGCAAGGCATCACTTGCAGTGCAGCTCTTTGGCTGCACAGTATTCATCATTTTGTTTTGTTTTTTTTCCAGTGTCTTTCGCTTCTGCACTTCCACTCTCGTCCTCACTCGCTCCTACCCCTATATCCCCTTTACCCCCCTCTCTTCGCCCTCTCCCACCCGCTTCCCTTTTCCCCTACCCCTACCACCCCCATGCCCCCACAGAGCTACTTCGAGTCTCTGCCAGGCCTGCCCAAGTGCCGGGATGACCAGAACCCTGCCACTTGTCAGTGCCCCTCCCTCCTCTCCTCTCTATGCATGCCCCTATCCTTCCTCTCAATAGAGCCCCAGATTGAAGTCAAGTCTCTCTGCATGCCTCTTCCTTTCTCTTCCATGCATGCACCTCCATCCCCTCCTTCCTCCCCTCCCCTCCCTGTACCCATGCCCCATCCCTTTGTCTTCACTCCTTGCCTCCCCCCTCCTCCCTTTTTTTGACTTGAGAGATTACCGAATTCCCCTTTTATGCCCCTTTCCTTTTACATATCTTGTTCCCTCTCCTCCTCTTTCCTCCACTGATCATGCTGCCAGATATGTTGGAGATGATAGGGGCGGGCATCGGTCATGCGGCCATGCGGGACTTTGCTCTTGACTACGCTGAGAGTATTCTTGCTGCTGACAACCGTGAGCTGCTGCCCCCTGCCTCCCGCCCTCCGTCCCTACCTCCCTTTCCTCCTTTCCTCCTTTCCTCCTTTCCTCCTTTCCTCCTTTCCTCCTTTCCTCCTTTCCTCCTTTCCTCCTTTCCTCCTTTCCTCCTTTCCTCCTTTCCTCCTTTCCTCCTTTCCTCCTTTCCTCCTTTCCTCCTTCCCTCCTTCCTCCTTTCCTCCTTTCCTCCTTTCCTCCGTTCCTCCTTTCCTCCTTTCCTCCTTTCCTCCTTTCCTCCTTTCCTCCTTTCCTCCTTTCCTCCTTTCCTCCTTTCCTCCTTTCCTCCTTTCCTCCTTTCCTCCCTCCCTTCCTCCCTCCCTCTCCCTATCTGCATCTCTTGCATGCATGCTTCCTTGCCTCTCCGTCGTTGCTGCCTCTCCTTCCTTGCGAAGCTTGCCTTGCTTGTTCCGCGCACTGCTCCTTCCTCTTCCCCCCCGCCGTAGCGCTCTTGATTTTTCTGGCTCTCTTCATCCGACCAGAATTACACGATCTAGGTATGGACAGGTTGAAGGGAGTTTTGTTGAGCCGTGGAGGAGCGAACCCTCTCTACCTCTCTCTCCACGCCCTTTTCTCTGCATCCTTTTCCCTCCCCCCCCCCTCCTCCCCCCCCCGTCCCCCTCGTGCCCCAATTCCAGAGGAGCAACTAGATGCGATCCGGTTTGGCAGGGGCGAGTACGGCCCGAAGCCCACA